ATAAAACTAAAAATAAAATTTTATTTTCTTTATATCTGGAAGCTATTACAATAGTTAACAACAAACAGAGTCTTCAGAACAAAAATGTTATGAATAATGAAATGTCAGTAAAAGATTATTTAGCAATAAAGGTATGTAAACTGTTAAGATATTTAATTATTGTTTAAATACCTGTTTATATTATATAATATTTATGCTTTATCAATTATAACAGGAAGTGTATAATACACCAAATATTTTTCCACTTTTGGTACACTCACTTTGTCCAAGTATATATGGTCATGAAATAATTAAAGCTGGATTGATACTCAGTTTATTTGGTGGAAATATAGAACAGTTAGAATCACGAGAAAATATACACACATTAATAGTTGGTGATCCTGGTCTTGGAAAATCGCAAATGTTACAAATGTGTGCTCGAATTTCTGCAAAAGGTATAATACTAGGAAAAGATTTATGTTTTAAGTTTGTATTTTTGAACAATTTACAATAATAATTTTCAAAGGTGTATATGTATGTGGTAATTCAAGTACATCTTCTGGTCTGACAATAACACTGGCAAAAGAAAATAAAAGTAATAATTTTACTTTAGAACCAGGAGCATTAGTTTTAGCAGATAAAGGTTGCTGTTGTATTGATGAGTTTGATAAAATGCGTAAACAATATGCGGTAAAACTATTAAAATTATTAAATATTAAATTAATGACACTATCTTATGTTATCTTTTAGTAATGAACAGTTTCTTGTAATGCATTTCATTATATTAAGTGGCAAATTTCTTTTTAACATTGTAGGTTTTATTAGAAGCTATGGAACAGCAGAGTGTGAGTGTTGCTAAATCAGGAGTAATTTGTTCTCTTCCTACTAGAACTTCAATTCTTGCAGCAGCTAATCCAGTTAGTGGGCGGTTCAACAGAAGTAAAACAGTAATGCAAAATTTAAGGATGAGTGCACCTCTTTTATCACGTTTTGATTTAATATTTCTATTGTTAGATGAGCCAAATGAGGTATGTATTAAGAACTATATGCAAATAAATAGTTCTGAAAAAATTATATATTTATTATTACGATTTATTTGCAATAGCGTATGGATGATTTATTATGTAAACATGTTATGTCAATTCATGCTGATTCGAATACAACTAATAATGTGCAAAGAAGTATATTTCAATCTACAAATGTATTAAGTACCGACAAATTTTCATTAAGGTAATCAAAATATATATTAATTTTATGTAAATGATAATTATCATTTCTAGTGTTTATTTCTTTTTCACTAAAACAAAACTTTTACTTTTTAGAGATAAACTTGTATCTTCTATTGCTAACGATATAAATATTATTCCACAATCAATTCTCCAAAAATATATTGCATATGCACGACAATACGTCAAACCGAAATTAACCAGAAAAGCAGCTGTAATATTGCAAAATTATTATTTAGATCTTCGAACTAAAAATAATAAATTTGGTGGTTTATCTGTGTGTAATAGACAATTAGAAGCTATGATACGATTAACAGAGGTTTATTTTTTCAAATATTTATGTAAATTTTAAATCAATATCTTGCTTTTCATGAAAACAGTTAAAATTGTTATATAGGCTCGAGCAAAATTGGAGTTACGGACAGAGGTAACAGAAGCAGATGCTTTGGATGTGATAGAAATTTTACAATATACATTTAAGAATGAAATTATAAATTGGCAGCCTTTAAGTACAAAAAATGTAACTAATAGAAAAGTAGGTTGTTCAATAGATTTAATTATTAAATACAAAACTATAGAATAATAAGCATTTTTTGGTTAAAGGTCAAAGAATTTATAAACTTATTAAGAAAAGAAACAGTTTCTAATAGCAGTAATGTATTTTCTATGAAGAGATTGCACGAAATCGCATCAAACAAACAAATGTTGGATGGTATTCCAGAATTTATTGCAAAACTAAATGAAAGCGGCATTTTATTGAAAGCAGGAACTAATACTTTCAAATTTGTTTCTTAATTTTAT